GTGAGCCGAGATCGCGCCATTGCACTCCAGCCTGGGCAACGAGAGCGAAACTCCGTCTCAAAAAAAAAAAACGAAATACAACATGGGTGGGCCGGGCATGGTGGCTCACACCTGTAATCCAAGCACTTTGGAGGCCAAGGAGGGCGATCACCTGAGGTTGGGAGTTCAAGACCAGCCTGACCAACATGGTGAAACCCCGTAAAAAAAAAAAAAAAAAAAAAACTACTACATGGGTCTAAAGTAAGTTCAGGATCAGGAAGACCTTAAGGCTCCAGAAACAATTTTTATCCTCACTTTCTGAGATTTTGGGAGATTGAGACAAGAGAAAATCTTCCTTGTGAGCCAGTTATAAAAGAAAATACTGTAAACACACACTATACTCCAGAGCAATAGGATCTGGTTCTTTTACAAAAATCAACCTCCAAAAGACAATGATTCTTCTTTCTCTGAACTTTATAACCCACAAAGAACACACTAGAAACAAAAGTTACAGTTTGTTTGTTCAGTCAGTTCTGCATATTGAGAGATAAGAATTTTCCTTTTTTTGCCTTGAAATTAAAACTAAAATACATAGTAACTGTTCAAAGAAATTGCTTTTAGTTTTCTCAGTGGTAGGAGTGAATTAACCAGCCTGACCTTTGTTTTCCAATTGCAGGCGTGATGGCAAGGCTCTGGAGAGGTTCCTGCAGGATTACTTTGATGGCAATCTGAAGAGATACCTTAAGTCTGAACCTATCCCAGAGAGCAATGATGGTCCTGTAAAGGTGAGGTGCTCACAACCTTATCAAGCTATGAGCAATTGCCTCTCATTTTCTCTCTCTCTCTCTCTTTTTTTTTTTTTTTTTTGTCCTCACTCCCTGAGTCATAAAATAAGCATTGGCAGGACTCAAAATGCTTGGTAAGGGCAAGTGTATAAAGCCTGCATAGAATTTTCTGATGAAATTTATATTGGGCTAACTTATGAGGATAGAGCAACCCCTAAGAACAGTGTATTGCTCTGAATGTTTTTTATAGAGATGCGGTCTTACTATGTAGACTCAGCCTTCTGAGTAGCTTGGACTGCAGGCATGTGCTACCGAGCCTGGCTTGAAATTATTTTAAGGAACGGTTGGGTAGCACTTTTGTGTCCTGTAACTTCCTGAACATAGTTTGATAGGCGAGAGACATAGGAGCAAGTCGGTATCTATAGTGAATGGCAACATCTTTAATCTGTAAATGTGATTTGGGTTTCCATGAGTTACTTTCTTTTTGTTTGTTTTTGTTTTGTTTTTTGAGACGGAGTTTCGCTCTTGTTACCCAGGCTGGAGTGCAATGGCGCGATCTCGGCTCACCGCAACCTCCGCCTCCTGGGTTCAGGCAATTCTCCT